GGTACTTGAAATCCGAGCATCTCAGTCCATCGGTTACTCCACTGCTCTGCCTCGTTTCTGCCGTTGGACCGTTGATCCCGGTTCTGATGTTTGATTAGGGTCAATGCGGATAGTTGAATGAAAACTGATTCGCGATTGCTTGTTGCTATCGCAGTATCTTGGAACAGCTTGGCTGTCGGTTCGCCTCATTGCGGAACTTTGGCAGTGCCTCAAACCCTTGGGCGGCCAAAAGTCGAGCGACCAAATATCCCCACCTCCAGTTTTGAACGAGCGTCAGTGGTCAAAAAAACCAGACTGCTCCGCGCGCCAGTGGGATTATGTTGGCCTTCGTAAGTGCGGAGCCTCCCACTTCTGGTGGGTCACCATCTGAAGGTTGAACCCACATTGTGGAGTGTCGCTTGTTGCCCAATACCTTAACCTCGATGAGCGAATAGACGAATACCACAGGTTGGCCAAAGGGATGAACGGATGATTGGAGAAAGGGTCGCAAGCCACCCCACAGTTGACAACGGTGTCCTTTAACCAACGAGACTCAACCCACCAAACATCCCTAACATGGACCCTCACTCGGTGCAGGTCACCGAGATAATGCAAGAGCATGTAGATCGGTCGGGAGAAATATGCCGGTACTAGAATTACCCGTGATTACGTACTCTGCGTCAAAGCAATGGTCATCTGCGGTGATGGGAAGCGAGAGTTCATTTGAAGTGAGACCATTGGACCATAGGCTGCGCTTGTTTGGATTTTCTGTCTAGGATGCGGGAGAACCATTACTGGTACCGTACCGCCTATTCTGCTGTCCTACAGCATGAAGGGTAGGCCCTTTTCTCTCCGATGAGCCCGAGTGTTCGAGTACAGTATCATATGTTGGGCGTCTGACTTACTGGAGAGCGCGACGGGCCAATGATCAATTAGCTCGAGAGGGTTTCTACCCGTTGTTATTTCAACACAGGATAGACAGAAAGGTGCACGTGAAACCTCTCCCACGAGATCAGCAGGTTTTCCTCCAATGGGTGAAACAGACGGTAAACTACCGAGTTATTTATACCCTCATTTCGATTAGCGAATATTACTTTTGTTAGCTGAATACTAGCGTTCGATTCGATTGCGAATTTGTAATACGATATCGCAAGGAGGAGGAAGACGGACCGCTCCAGGGCCGAGCCGGTGGCATGATTCTCCTTTTCTTGGGTTGCCTGGATTCGCTACGAGGATCAGCGTTCCGCCCGGGGGGTCAGAACTCTCCATAGTGTTACTGACTTCAGTAAAAACACCAAACGGGTTTTCCACGCACTATCACTCGTCGGATTTCCTACCTCTTCCCAAACACTACCCAGTCCAGCCCCGTCGATGGGATCCTCCAATACCGGTACTCGAGCACATCCACAATAACTAATCGCCCATAACTTCAAATAAGGCCCGCTGTTGGAGGCCACGCTTCATGAGTTGTATACCGGTACACCACTCTTATCGGTCCAATACAAGGAAACCTTCCGAATCGATACAAAGATGCAGTGCGGGTTTTTCGCTGACCAGATAGACTTCTAATGGGATGAACGGTACCTTATATCCAGGGCCGGTAGGGCGTCCCCGAGGGAGGATTCGCTAGCGAGGCGAAGTTCTTAGAAAAGAGTTATAATGTGAAAAATATACGGCAGCTAAGTGCAGAATTGAATATTCTCACTCGATTACGGTAGTCAAAGGGGAAAATGAAATGGCGGGTTCCGGAGTACCGTAGGGAAAGTGATATGTGATGAGGATAGATGAAGGATGGATGGCGCGAATGGGCTATCGAATTAACGAATGGGCACGGCGTTCCTGGAAAAAGGAATTAACGGTGGCGTATCTGGGTGGAATCGGTACCTGATTTAATTTTGGTGCAGATAGCGTATTGCAGCGTGAGAGGAAAAAGAAAGTGTATGATAGGATTCCCAGTACGAGTACTCGTAGGTTGATTCCCGAATTTCGCATCAAAATTATTGATAGAACGGAAACGCCGGGATAATGCGGTACTGTACAGTACTCGTACTGTGCTGTATTCCCCCAAACCTATCGCCCCAAGAGCGCCAAATCAGACCCACCGAAGAAGCCACAGAAAGAGAGCAAACAGGGCCAGCAAAGTCAATCACAAACCAGCAATCCTCCTATTAATGCAACACCGTATCATCCTTAGTACTACGAAGCGAAATGGTACAAAACACCACCGAAACCAAGCCTTGTCCAATCGGAGAATAAAGGCTTCCCAGAGAATAGTTATAATACAATATAACAAAATGGAAGAATAACGTCTATTGCAAGTCCACTGTACTTGTGAAACCCCTGGCGGAGTCCAAACTCACAGCCGATCGCACAGCTTTGACAGGTCACGCTCATCCCGTCCCCCTTCCTCCCACCACACCTTCCATCAACCATAGGGCAGAGTCTAATCCTTGCAAACTCCACTCCAAAACCAGGTTTGCCAACTTACCGAGCAACCCTAACTACCAATTAATTTGGACAAAAGTACGGTCCGGTATTCTCGTTTTCCATGAGCATTGAGGGCAGTGAAGGATGGGCGAAAGGGAGGAGGAAGGGAACACAAGCGAAGATCATCTCAACGGTAGCATACAAACCTGCCATGTGTATGCTTTGGTTTGCTTTGTGGGAGAGTGATCCATACATTGCGGTACAGCACACACTTGCAGGAGAGAGTTGACCTATGCCACTTTTTTCCCTCTCACTCACCACACATGGGTGTGTGTGACGAATAACTGGACCGAGCTCTTCTCTTCTGCTCTTCTGCTCTTCTCTTCTCTTCCCCATAGAGTACGCAGGTGCAGAAAGAGACACAGAAAGGCCAATGCATCATCAATACTGACTTTAAATTATTTCCTCGACCCCAACCGGCACTTTTCCAAAACGATTATATACTCACCCGCCCGCCCTTCCGTCATCCACCCCCCACCCCACCCCCACACCACGCACTGCAATTCATTATCCATTTTTACTGTTTTCACGAAAAACAATTACTCTGCGCCATGCCTTCAATCTCAGCTCCTAGAGCGACAAAAACCCAACGACGCCGCCGCCGTCTTCCACGCCACTACTCTCCCTCACCACTCACATCATCTGCGACATCTTCTTCGTCGACATCGACCGCTGCATCTTCCCTCAAGTCATTAAAGTCCTTCTTCAGCAGTAGCTCCTCCGGCAGCAACTGCTCGCAGCGCAAAAATCTTCTGAACAAGATATCTTCACCTTTCGAACACGCGGCAGGAAATATCAGAAAAGGGAGAGGAAGAAATATGGGTGAAGGAACGGGAATCGGGATTGTCGGAGCAGGTGTCGGAGGCAGGGGAGGATTATTAGGAAGACATAAGAAGCCTAGCACATTGGATTTCAGATGCATTGGGGAAGAATTGGTTAGAGTCTCAACGATTAGGCTGAATATGCTTGCTCAGGTTGGGGGTTTCGAAGGTTTGTGTCCGCCATGCGTGTTAGTTGTCGAATCGCGACTGATTTTTTGCTTCTAGATGCGCCCAAGATTCAATGGGAAATCCCACAAATAAATGATTGGGATAGTAACTGGTTTGCACACATTTGCTAGCCAGATGATGCATCCTCCCAGCTCCCATCATCATGGCCATAAAGAAGAAAAAAAGGAAAAGGCAAAAAAAAAGAACACCCGCACGCCCCTCCAGCACAACGGAAAAACGAGTTTCCTTTCTCATAATGCCCCGGCGTTGATCTTTTGCTGCTTCTACCATACTTTGCTCCAGTTTTCCTTACTCGACTTTGCTCCACTTCACTTCACTTCACTTCACTTCGCTCACTTTTACTTTTTTACTCTTACTTTACTTTTCAATTTCCTTCACACTGCTGGTACCCACAACAACAACGAATTGGGGAAAAAAACCCAAAAACCGAAATGATAAATGAACGATGAAACGAAAACGAGTCTCCCCTGTCAAACTCTGTATAATAATAATGTATTCTATCCAATTCTCTTTCAGTTTCCTTGTCTTACCTCGAGCAATCCTTGTCCTGTACTGTATAATAAGATTGTACTCGCGGCTTATAGTTTTCTCAAACAAACACAGCGCAGTACCGGCAAAACCAAGACCAAAGTGAGAAGTGCTATCTATATATATACAGTAGGAAGTTTACTAATCCAAACCTTTTTCGGGATCTCTTTTTACCATCTACCCTGCACGGCATTCTACCTACCCCAATTTACCCACCTCAAGGATGAACAAACACCATTGCACGCATAAAAATGTACCTATTTTACCTACCACAGGATAGCAATATCATATGCAAAAACGCGAAAGCGCAACTCCCCCCCCCAACCCAAAAAAAAAAAAAAAAAAAATATACAATACACATAACAAACAAAAGAACAAAAGAACAAAAACAACAAAAACACGTGTCCTAAGAAAAATAGCGTTTTCATATATGGTGGTGTAGCAATCAGGGCCCAAATAAAAAGAAAGTACTATTTTAATGTGTATGCCGAACACACCTTATGAACAGGAGCATTATCCTGCTGAAAAAGAATATCTTCAAGTTGTATACACAGGGAAACCATTCGGAGAATAACAGGAAAAGGATGTCTTCTTAAAAGTCTACCATACTCAGTCTCATTGATATTTTGAGTAATAGGAACAAAGGGACCTGCACCTTTATCTTTAAAATGCCCCCAAACCATGAGTGAAATTCTCTTATTCTTGTCTTTTGGTATTGAATACACTCAGGGAGACAGATGTGTGGCTTTTTTTTGAAGGGGTGGGGGGGGGGGGTTGTTGTTGTTATGATGTATTTGTTCATGATTTGATCATTTGTGGTTGGGTGATTGGGAATGAGGTTTGTGGTGGTTGTGTGGGTGAGTGATAAAGATGTGAGGTTTTGTTTGGTTGTGGGGTCCAAGTCCTCTTTGGACCGGGTTGCACGGCCAAGGGCACATCACTCTGCGAGTACAATAGCGCGCCGGCATGATATCATGGAGTATGCACGATAAACCATTTTTTAAAAAAAGTCTCAAATTCATTTCATCCATTACACCGCCAAACTGAGCACGATACACAACCGTCCCCCGCAGCGCCTAAAGCTGCAACCTATACGTCGCAACCTCAAAAGGTCTCAGCATAATTTTAAAGCATTTGTGTCCCGTTGCAGTCTCAGCCAGAGCAACCTCCGAGATATCGTCCTCGAGGACATTAGTCTTATAAACCGCCTTGACGAGTAATCTCCTATTTTATTTCCAAGACATTAGTACCCCCACATCCCCGAATGGATAATCAAGAAGGAGGATGGTGGGGAACATACGTATGGACAGTGGTAGACCCCTTCCCACCAAGACTGTCATAAAACCTAAGCACCAGACTCCGTCCCTTCCTAGTTGGAATCCCACCGGTGGAAACGTCCTCGTCATCCTCGCCCCTCTTGACGGTGTCCAGGACTATGCTCTTACTCCCTCCTTCGACTCTAATGGTCTCTAAAAGCTCTCTCACGTTCTCCATTTCGTTGGCTGAAACATGGCCCGGTTCTAGCGGGTTGTTGAAAGCCATGGCTGTTCGAACGGTGGTTTCTCCCACTGGCCCGTGGTGCGGGAGGATAGCGTAGCGGAATGTGTGACGGCCCATGTCTGCGTGCGCGTCTGGCGCCTTCGGAGCTCGGATTAGGGAGAGACGCATGACGTTTCCGACCGTGGCGAAACCGTATTTGCAATCGTTGAGGATGGACACGCCAAAATTGTGTTCGGACAGGTCGGCCCATTTGTGGCAGCAGACCTCGAATTTGGCCATGTCCCAGGAGGTGTTGTAGTGAGTTGGTCGGCGGACAATGCCGTATTGGGTTTCGTAGGAGGCCTGGGGAGTTAGCTATAAACCTCCATCTTTCGATTAATTGCAAGATTTGATACCTCTGTGTTGTGAACGTCCACGGGGAATTCAACTTTCAAAAACTTCATGTCTTCTCTCCATTCGATTTCGTTGTCGAATTCGACAAGGCTACCCGCGCCATTCACTGCAGCTTGAAGACTAATGATGGTCTTGATCCAACTGGTCTCGCTAATCTGGGTCTCGACAAGGACACTGGCCCTGTATGGCCCATTCTCATAAACGGAAACTTTGCCCGTGGGCAACTCCCGACGAGTCTCTAGGTGATAGACCTCGACGTCCCATGCTTGCCAGTACAAGGGCTTGTCATCCATAATAACCAACTGGTTAGCCCTAGCACCCTCCGGAATGACCTCACGTTCCAACTCGCGGTCAATCAGACTGGTGATTACTCCATTCTCAACCGTAACCTGCAGTTTATCGTTCGCAAGAACGTAAACATCTTTTGCAGTTTCGGTAACTATACCCCATGTCAGCACGGGCGTTGCTCCTGAGCCGAGGAAAACTTACCGGTAACCTTCGGACCGTCGTCAGAAACTTGAACAAGTCCTTCAGTCCCCAAGAAGCCGTATTCGCTGCCGTCTGCCCCCTTCTGACAAGCTCCAGCCACCTCTTTCGGAAGCTTAACCAGCTCCGTGCGGTCCCAAGGGAGGGTATTCACAGCAAAAGGCTTAGTGTCAGAGCCCGGAGCAGACTTAATACCAAGAGCCAGACCGGATTCCTCGATGAGTTCCCCACACCTCCGGAAAAGCTCAGCATAAAGTTTATCAGAATCCCGATAGCACATCTCGATAGATGACCCGGGAAGGCAGTCGTGAAATTGGCATCTGTACGTCGTTGTCAGCAAGGGGCATGTGCGTGCACGAGGGCAGGGGGGACCCATACAAGCATATGATTTCCCATAACTCATCTATGTCCTTCTTCGGGTACTTGTATCCATAGATACTGCTCAAGCTGGCATATGCAGACAATAGTTCAACGTTCTTCAATGCCACTTCGGCTCGGCGATTGTTCTTCTTGTTGTTGCTTTGGGTAGTGTACGTTCCTCTGTGAAGTTCAAAGTACAGCTCTCCGTACCAAGTCACGAACTTCTTTGCAGACCCCTGCTTCTTCTCTAACCGGGAGAAGAAATCGTCGACACTATCACCCATCTTAACACGAGGAAGGAGACCAATAGTGTCGCTCATGCCGCGGCAGCGACGAAGCTTCTCAATGTGCTCGGCGGTGGGCCCACCTCCACCATCTCCGTGACCAAAGACAAGCAGCGAGGTGGTATCCTCGTCCATAGACTTGTGCTGAGTGACTGACCGCTTGACATCGCCAAAGTGTGCCTGAGCAGTATATGTCTCGCTTGGAGGCATGTGACACAGGACCTGAGACCCATCAAGGGCAATCCAGTTGAAAGTTGTGTGTGGGAACTTGTTGATATTATTCCTATTTATATAAATTAGCTACCGAGACAAAATATCTGTTGTGAAACAAAAAATCGTACCATGAAAGCTTCTGCGTCAAGAACCTAGTCATTCCCGCAAGTCTGCACAGCTGCGGCAATTGCGCACTATATCCAAAGGTGTCTTTTTTCTTCATCAGTTCTCGTTCTTATCCTCACTCATGTCTCAGACGACAAACTCACCAGGCAGCCAAAAGGTGGTACACCTCTCCCCGAATCTGCTCTGGAAGTAGCGTTGTCCAAGGATAAACTGTCTCACCAAACTCTCCCCACTCGGCATATTTGTGTCATGCTCGACCCAACTTCCACCAATATACTGAAACGTGCCTTTCTTGACATGATTGCGAACTCTCTCAAAGAGCTTGGGATAGTACTGCTCAAGCCACTTGTACTGCTGCGCAGAGGAAGCGGTGAATCTATGCTCCGGATACCTGTCCAGGAGATTGCACTGAGAGGACCATGAGCGCGCCACCTTGCCTAATCAATTACTTAGTATTACACTGAATTATGATCCGACACAGGCAAGAGAAGAAAAAGGGGTGGGGAGGTAATCATACGTTTCGTCTCATCAAACGGCCAGAGCCAGCAAGTATCGATATGACAATGTCCAATTCCATACACAATTGGCTCAAGATCCGAATCGTAAACCTTCGCAGAATCAACGTTACCACCAAGGTATCTTGCGGCAATCATCCGGCATCGCAGGATAGACTCTTGAGATCCGGGAACGAAAGTGTTTACGATATCATTGGCAACCTGGGTAGCCGTATGCGATTCCTAAAGTAGCGTTAGCCAACCCTGCACTAAGTGCACAAGCAGGCGGGCGGGGGGACACAAAACACATACCCAAGAATCCCCAGGAAACTCCCGCGATGCATCTCCCAGTATCCAGAAGTCGATGTACAACCCCTGAGCTTGCAAATTCGGCACGACAATATCCGCCTTTGTCAATTGGAAGCTACCGCACACCACCCAGCAAGCCACCATTACCATAAACTCACTTAAGCATTGTGAAATAGAAGACCTACTATCGATTCGGATCCGGTGGCTGGATGCTGTCCCCACCGGGAGCGTTCCCAAACATGCCATTGCATGCCAACTCGACATAAAGCAAATGCTCCTTACCGTCCCTCCACTGCTCAGGAATCTGATACTCAACCCTCTCCCCACCACCGGTAAGCCCCTGCACAGGCTCACCCTCCTTCGTCCACACCAACCCCTCGCAATTCCCATCCCAGTGAAACTCCAGCCTCTCCTGCTTCAGCATCCTCGTCGGCACGGTGATCCTAACCCTAAACCAATGCGTCGACCACGACGGTCCAAAACTCTGGCCCTTAGAGGTGCTCTTGAACTTGCCCTTAACGGCCTCGTCGAACGGAATACGCTTCAGGTCCGGGACGGAGTAGACTTGCAGCTTGACGTACTCGCTGGAGTCCTCGCTGTCACTAATGAACATTGAGCGGAGGTTCTTGCTCTCGTATTGCCCCTGCGCGGTGAACTGCCTTAGGCGTTCTTGGTAGATGTCGCGAATCTGTTGGCCCTTTGGTGTGAAGTTTAGTTGTGGGTAGCTGGAGGTGCCAGCCGAGGCATTTGAGAAGGGGGTTCCGCCGCCCATGGTTGTCGATGATGGTGATAACGTTTCTTCCTGAGGAGGGCTGTGGTAGCCGTGAGCGTGGCCGCAACTGTTAGACGTGGATTAGCTATGCTCTTAGGGATCCCCTAGTTATATGAAGCCAATTGCGGGGGAAGCTGCAGGGATGCAGCTGGGGAAGGCTTGCACACTAGTGGTGAAGGAGAATGAATGGGTTAAGCTAAGCTTTTCAAACCTCATAATTCAGCAATTCCAATTGTCAATGCTAAGAAGAAAAAAGACCCCCGGTGCAATAGCTATACTATCATAACAGCTTACCGACAAAACCTGTGAAGTTCCCCCAATTTAAGCGGACCTTGAAAACCATTTAAAACACAACCTCAACCGCTACCATCATCCATCTAATTTACCCCTCTTTCCCATCAGAGTACCCTCCCCACCAGCAAATCCCGTCCACCCAGTCCATTCTCAACCCACCCACACGCCAAGGTCACACACACAACCCGCGAAACCTCTCCCCGCATTCTCGTGTCCCCTTTCTCTGAGGCACAGTACGAGTACCGGTAGTTATAGTATGACACTTTTTACTTCGGAGGATGTATAAGGTGCGTCTGGTCGCCCTCGGCTTTTAAAAGTGTTAAAATCGCAAAATACAAGTTGTACCCTGCAGCTATATATTATAGTCATTCAAAATCCGCATGCCGTAATCTATGCAAATAAAAGCACCCCAGCAGCAGCATACAGTAAGTTGACTGGTTGATGGATAAATACTAAGGTATCATACTTTTTTTGTAATCATCATCATAATTATGTATCAGGAAAACCACCTTAACAAAAGTTACTCAATATATATATATATATATATATATACATATATTAAGAATTGGCACCTGGGCTTTGATATTCATTTTATTTTATTTTAAAAATGCTTTTCCAATTTTTTTGAATACCTTTGTTTTTGAGCCCATTATTCTTATTATTGTAAATCGATCGTTGAGTTCTGGTGTCAACTAGACACGCCGCTCCTGAGCGAAATACAGTAAACCCCAAGAATCAGGATCAAAACGAAGGTTTAGAGTGGCCCACCGGACGCCCAACTTATGACAATGTCTATCACACCCGGTTTATGATAGTTAATTTACGAGTGACAATATGTGGCTACCGGCTCCACGGAATCCGCTGCAAATATGGCACAGTATTTACCCGTAGCAGGCAAAAAGTACTCGAGTATGATACCGTACCCAATAACAAAATATATGGCGAAAAATGCGTGCGTATCTGAGCGCTTATAGAAGAAACTCACCACCCCTATTGTCAAATACTACTTGTCTGCCACGAGGACCAACCGCAAACTAGACATCTAGCCTCTGTAAGACTCCACAAAATATCACCGTCACCAGAATGCAACACAGCAGGCGCAAAATATTCATCATTGTAATCATTATCGTCATCAGCTACTCTCATCGCCTCTACCCTAACAAAACTCTCATTTCGTTCTCAAGACCTATCGATCTATCGTCAAGCGTAATTTGATAAACCTCCCAACCCCACCCCACCAGTCCAGTGGACGTTCTATCATTCTGTAGTCCAGGGAAAAGAGGAGGAAAGAGACCAGAGAAAAGGAAAAAAGGAAGAAAACACCGAATACACAAAGGACTTTTGTTTAGACAGCTCCGGTAGACTGCATCTTCTTTCTGAGGTGGTTCTTGTATTGACCGATCGAACCTTCCCATCGCCTAACTGTCTTGTTTTCACACACAAGGATATCCTTAGCAATCTTATCGAGAAGCCTGGGTAAAGCGGTCAGTATACGATGTCATGAATTATTCTGAAAAGGGGTGCCTACCTGAAGTCGTGAGACACGACGACGACACCACCATCGAACGCGTTGATAGCCTCCGCTAAACTATCGATAGTAGGAATATCCAAACCGTTGGTAGGTTCGTCAAGCAACAGCATATTTGGGGACTCAATGGCAAGAAGGGCAAAGACAATTCTTGACTTCTGACCCTCGGACAAGGTTCCCATCAAGGCTGTCTGAGAATCTCCACTCAGACCGTACTTTCCGAGTTGTTGTCTCCAGTACTGGTAATCTTGACTCTTCTCTCGGTACTTGTCACGTACAAAGTCCAAAGCCGACTTGGTGAGATCAAGCTGCTCAGCCGAGTGCTGGGAGTACATTCCCAACTTCAAGTGAGTGTGTCGGCTAACTGATCCGTTTGTCGGCTGGAGCTTTCCAGTCATGATTCTAAGAAGGGTCGACTTCCCAACACCATTGGGGCCGACAAGTGCCACACGAGAGTCCATATCCACGCCAAGATCAAGGTTTTCATAAAGATTATCCCTAGCATTACCAGAGTAGGAAAAGGTAACGTCATCAAACGAAAGTACCGGCGGGGGGAGCTTCTCGACGTCGGCAAAACGAAAAGAGAAGACACGATCAGGATTGACTTTCTCGATCAGACCATCTGCCTCCATCTTGTCAAGAATCTTCTGACGAGATTTGGCTTGTCTAACTAAATTGGCATATGTACCGGCCTGAGAACGTAAGCATAGAGCACCGCAACATTCCACAAGAGATTACTCACGGAAGCAATGAACTTCTTAATATGTGCAATCTCCTCCTGTTGCTTGTTGTATTGTTTCATCTGGTTGGTCTCTTGCTCACTTCTGGTTTTAATGTAGCTATAAAACCATAGGTGTCAGCAAACGTAAAAGCACAAGCCGCTGCAAGGAAAGTACTCACGCATCGTAGTTGCCGCCATAGTAGATAAGCTTTCTCATTCTCATATCGATCATGTTGGTGCAGACTCCATTCAAGAAATCCATCGAATGAGAAACTAAAACAAGGGTACGTGGCCATTTCTTCAAATACTCCTCAAGCCACACACATGCCTCCAAGTCCAAGTGAGCGGTAGGGTCGTCCAACAGAAGTAAAGAGGGTTTGACGAACAAAGCCTTCGCCAATGCAACACGCATACGCCAGCCTCCGGACATGTCCTTCGTGTGCTTTTTCATAGTTTCAGGGTTGAAACCCAAACCGGTCAAGATGAGGGACGCACGAGTAGCAAATGTCGAGGGGTCCATACTGTCGATACGCTAAACATATTGTCAGTGATTCTGAAATGCACCAGAAATACCGATAGCAGGATGATATCCGATAGGGCCGAACGTGTTGGAAAGGCGGGGAAATGGGGGAGTCAGGGGTGGTCGAACCTCATAAAGGTCTTCCAGAATCGGACTATCATGACCCTCATTCTCCAATGTCTCTTCAGCTAATGTCTCCAATCTCTTCAGCTCTTCCTGAGCTTGAGTAACAACGTAGTCAAGAGCTCCCAAGCTAGTCTTATCGGCAGGCTCATTGAGTAGATAGATATCAATGTGCTCGGGAATAGGAAACTCCCGCTTAGCAACAGATTTCAACAGAGTCGATTTTCCGCAACCGTTCTCACCAAGCAGTCCATATCGGCGACCATAATTCAACTCGAGTGTGGTATCCTGGATAAGAACTTTACCATGGAAGACAAGCGAGACGGAAGAAATTTTAGCATCGCGAGACGACTCCAACGAGGAGAGAACACCAGTAGTGACACGGTCGGAAAGCCCGTGCTCGTCCTCCTGCAAAGCAAGCTTCTCAAGCTTGGCCAAGGCCCTCTCGTCCGTACCCTCAACAGCTTCACCATTCACTGAGGACGCTTTGGAAGTCGCCTTAGATCCAGCCCGAGATGAACCAGGTGTGAGAGCAAGCTTGCTAGCGGCGGTCTTCTTCGGTTTGTCTTCCCCACCGCCTGCAGCACGCTTCGCAGCACGCTCGGCTTCACGCCTAGCCTTTGATGCAGAAACCATAGTTTATATGACTGAATGAAAGTTAGAGAAAACCTGACTTCGAGGAAAAAAGGTTGGGTGAGAAAGTGACAGGAGGAATGGGCTGTTGATAAGGGGGAAGGAAGCAAAGGTGCGAAGCTTACTATTGGGAGAGATGTGGCAGTGAAAAGTCTGCAAATGCAAGGCAAAGTAAGAAGAAAAAAAGAATTAAAAAAAAAAAACCTATTAGAAACACAGGCAGGGATGAAGATGAAACCCAGAAATCTGTCCTCTTATTTCAACTTTTCAACGTTCTATCCAAATAGAACGAAGAGGGCGTAACAAGTGAGTGGAGATGTCTATCAACGGTGAAAGACTGAGAGGAGAACAAGTTATGGAGGGGTGTGGAGGGGCAAAAAAGCACGGCGTGGTCCTTGATTGATTGAAGTTCGTTTTAGCAGGGGGCACAAATTTATTTTTTCTTTCTTGTCTTTTTTTTTAGCCTCCTCAGTTCCGCTTACCGCTCGATGTCCCCCCTGGTTATCAGATTTACGCTATCGTTATCAGATCAGAGCCCATCCCTGCTCGCAGAGCCTCCGTTACCTCCGCAACCTCTTGTCAACAAACAATTGATAAGCCAATAGTAGCTTACCACACCAATCCTAATAAGTTCGTTCGTAATCTATATAGGCACCGGTATACGAGTACCCCCGAGCGCACTCATCTCCCTCAAAATTCCATATTACCATACTCGAGTACCTGTAATACTTTGGCAACCTATGATAATTATTGCCAAAATAACAATATATTACATTTAGCAACCTACTTGTACTCGTACTTGTAGAAAGTTTATTCAGGGTTGGTGTCTCAATTGGCCTACTACCATCAAGACGGCATCTCCCGTCTTAGCTTGGCCTAACGCCGAACGTATCATACAAGTATCTCCATAGATCAGCTACCGAGGCTCAAAAACAAGCAAACACGTCTTAACTTTATCAATGTCATATGGTGGGAAACCCCAGTACTGCGTAGCAGTGGTAGAGCGTCAGGGGTTTGTGCTAACTGCTGCTTGGTGCTCGTACCAACGATCTCGAATTTCCAGGAGCGGGCGTCTCAGTGGTCAAGTGTTGACAAGATGTCTCTCTGAAATTCACACGATACCGAGAGAAACTCATAGCTCCATTAATAAAGGCCTAATCAAAAAACACCATCTCAAACACCCAAACATGATATCAACGACTTCCCCCTCCTCCTCCCCGCCATATCCAAGTTCCCTCCTTTGATCAAATCCCCTGTCCAGATCGGCCGCCAACCCAATGCAAGAAATCCCCCATTCGTACTCAATGTTATACAAGTTGAAAAGCCATTTTCCATTGTTCCATGCCGCAAAAGGATATAAAACGCAAAAGGAGATAACCCGTCCCATCCGCACCAGAGTCAAAAGGAAAACCTAGCCAGGAAGAGAAAAGAAAAGGATATCGGAAGAAAAAAGGAAAACGAATAACATCCTATCTCGTGGTCGCTCCCCTGTAGCTATAATCCTCATCCGGAGCGATAGGCATGCTCAATCCCGAGGGGGTTCTTCTGTTCCCACCCATTGCCACAGGTCCATGTCCTCCGATTCCGTTATATGCGCTTCCTTCGCCACCCCAGGGAACAGGGTTGCCGGGGTGAGCATCGTAACCGGTATCGTAGCTGGTCACACTTCCGCTACGTTCATGATGGGATGGCGAGAATCTGCTGTCACCATCGTCCTCATCCCGGTCCCTGTTAATGGGGGCATATTCGTCGTTAGAACTAAAGGCATCCTTGGTGGTTTCCTCAATGTCATGCCCCGCCGGGCTCAGATCTTCAAATGGGGAGACGCTGTGTTGGCGGAAATACCAAGCGGCATAGCCCGCGATCCCAGTAGTTCCAAGCCAGAAAAACCTGCACCGAGTTAATGAGGGAAAACGGAGCTGAGGGATGAACGGCATGCGGAGTGAGGGGGATGTATACCACAGAATTACACCGAGTCCGACGGCTGCTTGGTTCATCTTACATGCTTTGGGGTCCTCGCCGGTTCCAGCGGGAAACAATGCACAACCACCCTCCTTCTTGATCTTTTCGTCCTTCTCTTTCCCCTCTCCATCAGAGATCCCGCCGTTAGTGTAGCCAGCGACAGAAACAAAGGCCGCGAACCAAAGAATCTACTCCCAGTCAGTTTCCCTCGAGCGTAAAAAAGGAGCAAACAAGTAAGAACACACCGAGAATATAGTATTAACCCCAATAACCCAGTACGGGTGCGCAAACATTTTTGTCCTCGGAAACCGAGGCGCCTGGGTCAGGTAAACCAGCGCCGGAACCGCAAACCAACACTGCCACGGGCAAAAAGCCATCGTCAGTTTTCACGGCAGTCTACAGGAGTGCAGATGCAAACAGGGGATGGAAAAACTCACCATTGTAAACATGTATTTTATCGCACCACTCGCTGGACCCTTCGCCGACATGCTTGCTATAACCACCCCCATTACCACCACGCTCCATAACGCCTGGATAATGTGTAGAGCCAAGTTGGCCTTCACGAGAATGGCCGCATTCACCATGATGCCCGAGTGTTATTTTGTCCCCAACCGTTTGGCTCCGCTATTGCTGCTGCTACTGAGGTGCTCGTCGTAATACCGTTACTCGGCGGGATGGAAAAGGACTTTTTTTATTTTCTATTATTCCGATCTCGGCTCGGGGTTTGAGTGAATTGTAGGGTTAAATTAATTGGAAAGCTGCAGTGGTGGTATTTGGTGAGATTGAGGTGAGGCTGAAACTCCTGTTTCCCTTTCCGTGCTGACGTTGGACTTGAACAAGCAGAAGGAAACGAAAGGATCAGTTCGGTCAATCAATCGTCCCTACCGTATCCTCCGTGCTTCCAAGACGGCGCAAAGGTAAACAAGCCACTAAGCAAGCCGAAGGAGATAGGATGAGTGTGCGGTAGTATGGGAGGAAGGAGGGGAAAAAAAGTATAATAACCGGTCAATAGAAAGGATGAAACGGGAAAGGAATCGATGAAAGAAAGAAGGAAAGAAGAGAAAGAGAGAGAGAGGACTGACTACGTGACCTCAGCTTTCCACCAACCCTCTCTTTCCTCTCTTCCGCTCGTTCCTCGCTAGGATCATGGTGGCTTTCTTTCGGAAAGCTCAGGTGGGGTTTATTTTTGGTGGCTACCAGCCATGCAGGACTCCCCCCCTCTCAAACTGTACGTGTGCCATATTCAAACAAACCGCCGATCATTACAACCATCCATTGCGATCAGCAGAAACTTGGAGGGAGGCTCAACACAGTGGGCTCAGATAAACTGGATGGAAGACCAATCAATACCGGTACTCGAGCACCGGTACTCTACATTAGCTGGGTAAACTCACATTCTAACACTTGAGTACCAGCAGTAATCGAGTAGAGGGGACGACGAACAGCCCTACCAAATTTGACGTTTGCCACCAGATTCCTTGGTGCCCTGTTCGCTGTTCCCTCCCCGATAGTGGCGCTAAGCTGAATACTCGAGTAACTTGGAGACCGTGGTAAGTGTAACGAAAAACAAGCAAAAAGAGACCTTGACAACGGAATTCACCACCTCTCAAAACCCTTAAAATTTTGAGGAACATGTTCTTGGGCACCAGTGGTTGAAACACTATGAACAGACCATCAATCTCGGATTTTTTATAAATCCACTGGCCCTATCGATATCTTAGCCTTTTGTGTGGTGTCCGGGCTAGACTATTGGTCTCACCAGCAGTACTCGAGTACCAGCTTGGGCAGAGAGTCCATCGTACGAATAATTCCATACGGGTACAGCATCATCATACTCGAGTACGCGTAGTCTACCAGTAGTCTACCGGTACATAGTTCGCATTGTCTAGCACAGTTTACGCTATCACCTCCGGTATGGGCATGATACTTCATCTCCAACCTCGCAAGGTCAACCACGTACAGCTAAGCCTTCCAACTTGTATCATACCGGCGCCATTTTTCCTTTCTTCTTATAGCACCAGAAGCAACCTGCCGGTGCTGTATCTCTCTCGTCCCGCCACACAACATCTGCCCATCTCCCTCCGGGACCCTCCAGTTAAATTAGTCCCACTGGTACTGTACAGTATAATACTCGTACTCGAGTACCGGTGCCATAGCAACCATATGATGCAATAGCCTCTTCCAAGATATCAACCTATGCACCAAAATTCATAATATAGTACGATCCACCACCCTACCTAACACACATGCATAACTGTCACACATACAAACAAGTAAGCGTCAACACCAATATCTCGGAAAAATCGGCCAAAACCTGCAGCCCGCCAGTCCCATGATGAGCAAAAATAATAATTTCACTCTCCCTCTTTTTTCTCTCCTCCTCACGGGCAGGGAGGCAGGAGGGCTTGGCACCTTTGTGAAAACGGGAAAGAATAGGATGCAAGAAGCTCTCACGTGTACTGTACTCGAGTACCGTAGGTCATAACTTTGCAGCGCCCGTGCCGTCAGGGAAAGTGCTGCTTGAAGGGGCTGGAGTATTTTGCATGTCTTGAAATGAAGACATGTCACGTGTGGAGTATTGTGGGGGTTTTGTCAGCCCGGGCGGTGTTACCATAACATAAGTTAATGGCCCATGTCTTGGCGGTCCGGCACCTCGATTCCACCTAACTGAGTTTGCAAAGAGGGTCCCAAATGCCAACTTCAACGAATGACAACCTCTGGCAACCCCATTGATAGCTCCCTTCTATATCAGACTACGCGAGCCCTCCGTTGAACAAGTTTAACTGTAAATATGGGTAAATAATTGCTCTGTAGAAAAAAAGGGCTAGACCACGAGCGACAGTGTAGTACTGTACTCGTACTGCAACTGCGGAAATGCTTGACACCTCGAACAATAGCCAGCATAGCGCAAATCAAGTGTAAGTGGTTATCTATGGTATTATACTCGCGCAATTCTCTACGAGGACCGTTAGAACTGGGGGTAGGCTAATCAATTGAACCTCACGCTAGGACGTCCAGAATTCCCCTCTTTAGATAAGGGGAGGGAATTATCATACCGGGAAAAGAAAAAAGAAAAAAAGCTAGCCTTTACCCCTTCCCCAAGTCAAATACCGTACTCGTACTATAACGAGGCACGACACAACAGACCTTACCAGGAGAGGCAACTCCAACGTCTTACCACGAGGTTCAATTCTTCCAGCTCTTACGATACCCTCCATATCACGTAGCCTAGTGCGAATTATTCACACCCAGCCGTTCCCCAGACCAAGAGTTTTCCACCCCGACTGCACGATGCCGTACTCGTACAGTACTCGAGCACACAGTTGCGACACTGTATCAGTACAGCTCAGCGTACAATTGAGTTCGTGTTATAGACGATCGCCTGCACTGCTCCGCTCTGTGCTCGAGTACAGCGCTTCAGTCCACAAACTTCCCTCTTTACTGTATGATAGCGCTCGCTCACTGCAACCCCGAAACCCCACCTCTTAGGGAATCCCTATGTGAGTCTGGTCCAATCACCAGACCGGTTCGCAGCATTGCAATAGCAATCAGAACCGGGGATACGGTATTGGACAATCGACGGAATCCCTACGGGTAACCGTGCGGTATTGTGTGTGCAGTGCATACCGCACAGTACTTTACAGTACACAACCCGGTACTCGAGTACAGCCCTACAGAAGAACAACACCCGCAGCATATCGTATGCATCTGACAGTGCTGTACAGTACCGGTACCTGCACCTAGAGACGCTACCCGTCCCCAAGACAATCCAAGACATGATTTGACCCCCACGCTGCCCAATCCTAACCTCTATCTCCCATATTGGTATCTACAAAATTCTATAAAATTTACCCGCTGCCGGACCTACCGGTGCTTGCAAGATAAAATATGATAAAAATCTCTCTATCGTGAACGCTAATCGAGCTTGTATAGTGCCCGCGGTCTCCAGGCATTGGCTCCACCCTAGCTTCTCTAGGCATTGATATGTGAGCATTGGAAGTGGGACAACAGAGGCAAAGCAAACTACCTCGTGCGATCTACGATACGATACGGCATGAGATGACATACGTAGTGTGAGATTCACTCACATGAAGCCCAAACACACTGAAAAGAGAAGAGGGAGGGGAAAGTAAGCATTCATTCATACTCGCGATCCCACGCGAGCCAGGTACTGTTGTGGGCTATTCAAACCACTCTACAGCTCAAGCTCGAGAGTACGGTAGGTAGGTAGGGAGGTGTGCGTACGAACATCTCTAACGTAGCCTCAGCGCTGTGAACTTTTGAGAAAGCGTATAGTCTTTTGAGAAAGCGTATAGTAGGCCTAGTTAGCTTATCCATGAAGCTTGCTCGTTCATCGTAGCTACTCACCTCCAACACTCGATCGAGAAGGGAGGAAAGAAGGGCAGACAAGAGAGAAAGGAATGGAGTAAAACCCACGTCGGAAGTTCCGCCACCTGACACCATTTTGTCGCTGTCATATATAGTACCGTTTAACGCTTCTATCATAATCGGGCTAATGCCTGGCACAAACGCTTCTCACTGTGGGAAGTGAGTGAGGGCGCTCCCAACTCGACCCAAGTGGCACATCAATGGCGGGATATATAGCACAGCGTATCTCATCTCTTGCAGCTTAAACGCCTGGTTGCGTTCGCTACGGGACGTTCGTGCCACCAATCATCACACACGCTTTTCACAACCTTCTATCATAACAATAGTCTAGCACCATCCAATGCTATACGATACGATACGATACGATACGATACGATACGCTCCAGCCCGATCCGATCCAGTTCAGTCCAGTCCGGCACGAAGTATACCAGAACACCGATACCGCATATTTGCCAACAGCAGATACCCGCACAAACACATTATTCCCTTTCCCTTCTACCCTTCTACCCTTCCACCTCTCCTCCCCCCTTCATCCAACCACCCGACCCGAGGGTCCAACCAGAACCAACCAAATAATCACCCTGACTTCAACAACCCAGCAAATGCTCGCAGCGGTAGACTGTTACACCTGCCGTCGCCGTCGTGTCCGTTGCGACCGTGCACTCCCGCACTGCGAAAAGTGCACCAACAGGCACGGGCTCGACTGCTTGGGATATAAGAAGCCGCTGGTATGGAATAAGGGCGTTGCCTCGCGCGGGAAGATGATGGGGAAGACGTTCCCCTTGCCAAAGCCTTCGAGGCAAGGGGGCTCTGGATGTGAGGCGGTGGTGGTGAAGGTGAAGAAGGAGGAAGATTCTAGTGGGAGAAGCAGTAGTCCTGAGAATGGGATGGGTAGTGGGTCGGGGGGAGGTAATAAAGCTGGGGGGGTGGTTGTTTTTAGGAAGAGGGATGGGAGGAGTAGTAATGGTGGTGGTCGGGGGAAGGTTGTAGGTAAGGGGGAGGGTGAGGGTGCAGGGACAGAAACGATGGGTGGTGGTGGTGGGGGGGGCGTGGCGGGTGGGAGTGATGAAGAGAAGGACCCGGGTAGGGTGGTAGTGGTCGGATGTGGCAGCGGTGTTCGGGGAGGTTGGCTGAGACCTTTCAATCCAGAGTTTTTCGGAGATCTCGATAGCACGAGCAAATATTATCTAAACTACTGTACGTCACCTACACTCTCTCCCCTTATGGCACATCCAACTGACAAAACATCCATACACCCTAGTCGACAAGCGAGTTTGCAGAGACTTAATCCTCTTCGAACGCCATGGAGACAATCCCTACCGCAACCTCCTCTCCCTCGCAGCTGAGCACCCTCCCTTCCTTCATGCAGCCCTCGCTGTCTCCGCAAGACACTACTCCAACAACACCGGTTTCCAAGGAACCCACTCGTTAGTGTACAAAGGCCGCGCGATAAACTCACTTTCACAAGACCTGCAGAAGCCAGACTACGATGGCAATGGTGCGACCATCGTTCGGGAGCCTGTGCTCGCGGCGATGCTGCTGTTCTTGTTCTTTGAAGCGCTCGAGAGCGGGAAGGATACGTGGAAGATACATCTCCGGGGCGCCAGGCGATTGATCCAGTTGAGCGGGGGCATGGGCAGGCAGAGGAGCAATCTCTCGTCGTCGTTGGGGGTATTAATCACTCATGTTGCCGCGTATGTATCCCCGCTTCCTCAATAATATCAATACTAACGACACATAAAGCATCGACATAATCGGAAAATCCCTCGCCTTCTCCGGAGGTGCTGACACAGACACCCTCTCATGGGGTAGCACCAGCGGCAACCCAGAAGAGATCTTTAAATTTCTCGAACAGGCAGAACACTACTCCTTCCTCGGCTGCCCAACCGAACTCTTACAAGTAATATCCCTAGTATCGCAACACAAAACCCCCCCTACCACTACCACCTCCCCCACGATACAAACCCTCCTGTCAAGAATAGCAAACTTTAACCCCCAAGATTGGGTAAACAGGCGCCTCCCCTCACTTAACCAAAATGCCGCCGGAACATCCATCCCGCGCCTCGACGCGCGCGAACTCTACCACCACGTCTGCGCCTACAAGTGCGCCGTGCACATATTCGCCCTACAAGTGCTCACGCCTTCATCGTCGTCAGTGGTGCGCAAGACGGACGAGCTCGTCGACGATATTATCACGCACATTGCCAGCTTCGAGCCCGGGTCCGTCTTCTTCAAGGGTGTAGTCTGGCCCATATTTTTGGCCGGAGCTGCGGCAACGAGTGAGTACCAGAGGGAGTTCGTCAGAGTGACATTGAGGAATATATGGAAGTTGTTGCCGCAGTTTAATATTAAGAGCGCAGGGGTGCTGCTGGAAGCCATGTGGAGGGATGCCGAGGGGAATTGGAGGGAGAGGCTTGCAAGAACCGGGAGTGATTACTTGTTTATTTAAGGAGAAGATGGAGACTACTACTGTATGTTGCTTGTGCTATATTTCTTCATTTGAATAGTCGTAACTTTTCCGTATGTTACCGGTTTGCATCTGGTCTTGACACCCCAAAGTTTAAATCTTGGTCTGCCAGTCTTCATTTTCCCTTTATATCTCTTTCTTCCCCTGGTATTAGTGGCGTAGGGTCGGTTCGCAAGCAGAGGAGACATAGGTCATAATCATCATCTAGGAATGGATGGATAGCGCCGTATTTCTTTATACACCCCTCTTCGAGTGAGTCCCTATGATTCGGTGCTTGTTTATAGAACCTTGCCGAAAAACATCCCCCCTAGACGAGACCGCTTCATATAACCACTTCTATATATGATACAGTAATCGTGTAGTCAGCACACGCACATTGAACCACCCCACCATACGCCCCAAACCTCCTATATCATACCAGGAAGGGGGGGGGGGGTGAGCACAAGTGAGGGATTCAAAAACAAAGCCATAACAGCTCATGCACAAGAAGGGGTCTATCCCAAAATTAGATTTATCCCCCACCCACCCATGGGTATTCCTGAGCTTCCGGATGTGATCTACTTCATTGCAGCATGGGGGCATGTTGGATGGTGGATTTTCACGTTTTCGTAATGAGCTTTCATGGTAAGGATCTTGGCACTAGTGGATTTTGGAGTGAGATTTTGGGTATTTTTTGGAAAGGGAGTGGTCGTATCGTGCATGGTTTTAATTATCTATTCGGGAACCGTGTGGGCTGGCTGAGTTGGGTTTCAGGTAGTATAGTCTATCGCTTCGGGGGGGGGGGGCATACCGCCTTGGAATGTAAGGGAGCTGGGTATGTTCTGTCGTACTCATGCGGTGTCGTGAGGTAAAACAACATGATACTTTTTATAAGATGGTCCGCGGCATAGCGTTACCCGTCACCTACGATGCCCGCGAATTGATATGATATTCGGTCACCTCGATAAGTCCCTTGTTGGTATAGACGCAAGAGAAATTGAACCCCCCCATGTTTTCCATATATCAAAAATGCTCGTTTCCAACAGGTAGATGATACTCACCACCATAGATTGCCTCAGAGAAATCCGGTATAGCACAATTTGACATCGAGATTCACATAATTGGAGGTTATTTTATAAGAAAAATTCTGATCACTAGAGTTCTAAAAGGCAAAAGCCTTAACCTTAATTAGATGCTCGGGAAATAAAACAGGTCAATATAATCGAGATTTGGACTTATAAAAATAAGTTACGTGAGAGGAGAAATTCACATTGGAGTTTGGAGGGTGGGAACATTATTGGCTCAGTGATCGGACCCCGTGATACAAGTATATCATAATAATAATAATATTATTATATGCGACCTTCAAGACTCCTTTTGGTTACTCCTACCCAGGCCGAGGTTCACTTCAAAGCCAGGGAGAGAGTTAGGAATGAGATACATAGAAAGTGGGTGGAATGGCAATTCCTACCCTACTACAAGTATAGGCCTCCATTTAGGGAATGCTGGTATTTTATGACCCTCCCTAAGTTTATAGCCTCCAGACTTCATCAAATGCGGGCAAACAAAAGTTACCTCGCGGCTCAAACAGACTGGTCTAATCAGGACTGGGACATAACCTGTGGGAGGTGCCTCAAATACCTGGAGACTTTTGACCATGTTGTGCAATGCTCGGCTCTTTCTGAGTCGAGAAGAAACATCCCCCCCCCAAGTTTTTGACATGGGTATGGAGTTGGAGCTGTGGAAGGGGGGTAAGGCGGGCAAGAAACTGATGGGAGATTTTCTCTCTTATGTGATAGAGAATAGGATTAACTTTCCAGTGAAGATGGGGGTTTTTCCATTTACGAGGAATGCTGATTTGTCATCGTGATGATATGTAGTGATTTTCATTTGTGACGGGACTTGTTATTAGGCGGAGACAACTTGATAGACTTCAAAGTTGTCTAGGCCAATTGAGATTCGTTTCTGTAGACGGAGATTGTCTAGGAAGGCTCGGACTTTGCTCATTTCGTTTATGACTACTAGGAGCAAAGTAAAATAGGTAAAGTAGGGTAGAATCGTAAAAACAATATTATATTGTTAAGGTCTCTTCTCCGTTGCTTGATGATGTCTAAAGCTTGGGAGGCACTTCGATATTTATATTCCGCGTCTGAGTGTTCGTGGACTACATTTATTTATCATATAACTATGTACTTCTTCAATCGTAATTCGCAACATCGAGTTTTCTTCCAAGGTGCGAACACCTGTGGACCCTGAAAACCATCACACCCTCTTCAGTAATTACGATATTTCTTAGGAAACGTACTGTCCCCAATAGTAATATCCCAATTAGCAGAGTCTTTAGACTTATGGCCTAGTCCTTAAGTCGAACTGAGTTGGCTCCAATTGTCTTCACCATTGATAAAATAATCAGTCTTATCCATAGCTATATCTGCAAAGGTGGTCGTCATTTCAACTATCATAGGTCATTTGATTCCGATCCTTTGTAACTTCATACCCAACTGATAGATTTTCTTTGGATAACTTCCTATTCACTCGCAGGAAGCCACTCCACTAGACTGGTAATTAATCCCTTGGTCGGCAACCCTTGGTTGCTCTCTGGGTAGTAGGTTTTAGTAACTATTGTAGTATTGAGAATCACCCCATGGCTACAATGTGTTCTGAAACCCAGTTGCAACACTCCGTGAAGTTCGTTGGCTTCTTTGGTAGTGTCTTTTGGAGTTCTAGACTCTTCTGGTGTATGTAATTGTATTGGTCTCTAGTAGAGATCGTTTACTATTTGATACCATCTCATTGTGCGAAACTGTCCTGTTACTTACAGCCCATGCCAAATGTGTCATGTCTTTGAAGCCAAGTAACTCTCTGGGTAGTTGACGGAATTACTCCGTTCTACTTCCCAGGCCTAGCCGAAGGTCCCCTCTCATATATCCTGTGAACAGGATTCGGTCGGACAAACAGCGGCGACGTATATGGTGTTATTCTAACACCTTCAATTCTGTGGTAATGTAGTCACAGGACGCAACTGAGATTGATATATATGATGACGCATGGGCCCCGTAAGGGAGCCGGAGGGGGGTGTTGGAGACCAGAGATTCCGATTCCAAGTGGGATTACCCTACTTAGGGTGGTTCCTAGGTATCAGGTTCTGGTATTCCTAATATTTGTTTAGTGATTTTTATCATTTATTTGTTTTGTTTTAGGAGTGAATGAAGTTTCTTTTGTTATGTTAAGGAGGTTTTCAGGCCATACCTTAGGGTGCTTGCCATGGATTTTTCCTGTAGTTAGCTACAAATAAACCGCGGATTTAACAAAAAAAAACAAAAATAATAATAATATTATTATTATTATAAATTAAAATAAAATAAAAACTCCGACACAAGAGGGAATTGAACTTAGGTCCATTTTTCTCTTATGATTTAATCGAGGCATTCCCTGTTGCATCTTTCCCGGTACTGCTTCTTCCATATAGTAAAATCTCAGTAAGAAGTAAACTGAGTGCTGAGTACCATAGTCCAGAATTACCTACTTTGGGAAAGTGGCGAAGAACATACAGTGGGGGGCAAAAATACGTTCACATTTTATGTAAGCAAAAATACATCGGGTAGCAACCACAAACCTCAAGAAACCTAAAGTACGTGATAATCATAATCCAGAAACGCAATAGCACCTAATACTTCGTATACTATCCATTTGCCTTGATTACTGCCTGAATCTGCTTAACCATACTTGCTGCCACCTGTTCAAAAACTTCATCTGCAATCTCATTCCAACACTTCCAGCAGCAAGAAAAATAGCAGTCTGAATATCTGACTGAGAAACTCCAAGCCTTCCAATATCCATCTGCAATAGCTCAGGGTATCTTTGCACCATTTGACTCTTCATTACACTTCATATATTCTCAATGGGATTGAGATTAGGAGAGTATGGAGGCTATTTGATCTATTTAAATAGGTGCCCTTCAATTCCTTCACGATCTAAATAGTGTAGCCATTTCTTTACAGGAGTCCAGCGATGAATACCAGCACCATCTTGCATAAAATAGAATGTCTGACCCAGAGGAACTGCTTGGGCCAAAATCGGCAACTCATATTGCAAGATTAGTAAATAAACACCGCCAGTAACACCTTGTCTTTCAGTATTAGGATCTCCACTCATTCGGATTAATGGGGTTCTTGTCTTTCCCGTCATTTCACCTCTTACCATTACTCCTATACTACGCTGAGCCTGACGAGCAGAGGCATTCACAAAATGGCTATAATATTTAGGCTGACAGCATCGCTGCTATTGAGTTGGCGTAAACCGAGAGCTCCAGAAATACCACAACTGAGAACGACCTTTATTGGCCCTTCTGCGCCCATATGTCTCATCACTAAAAGCAAAATAGCTTTTCCAATCATCTGCCATCAAATGAGACCATTTGCGTGCAAATTGAAGCTGGCCACGGGTATCGAACTCAGTTAACATAGAGCGCTTTTTGGCCATCCATTTTCTAATTCCTGCTTTTTTTAGACAATGACAGACTGTTCGAGTAGATAGCTGTTTTTTGGAGGCAGCAGTATTTAAGAGCTGCTCATGGCTGTATTCTGGATGCTTGCATGCCATATCACATACCTACTTTTGTTAACTTGAATACCAATATAAATAATACCTTTAACTTACAGCATTCTCTTGATCTTTTGAAAGCTTTTTTGGCCTTCCTCTCCCTCCTACCAAGCTCTGACCCTGATACTTTTGGTCTGTTCGTGCTCTTTTTATAACTTTCTAAATCGTTTGTTGTGAAACACCTGTTTCCTTGCTAATCACGTCAAATGTAGCTTGCTTCTGCTTCATTCCCATGAGTATTCCTCGCTCATATGGTGTCAACTCAGATCCATCCTTATGAGAAAAATGAGTCTCGAGTTCAGGATAGAAGGTCATAGTCGTAGGTGTGATATTTGCAGTACTATCCGCACAGGACGGGTTGTTGTATTGGTGATGATGCGAGGATTCACTGGTTGCCACCCAATGTATTTTTGCTTACGTAAAATGTGAACGTATTTTTGCCCCCCCCGCTGTACTCGTACGGTAGCAAAAGGGAAAAAAAAGAGAGTACTGTACTCCTCAACCCCACCAAGAGATATAAAAAAAATGCACCAGACCATACTAGGGGAGGCAACTCCAACGACATGGCACACAGCTCAACTATGAGATTACCAGTATGGTAGACGGCATCAACCGTAGCTGCACGGGTACTGTACCGCCTTCGCTACGAGTAGAAAAAAACGGAAAACATGGTTTAGAAACACGGAGATCGATTGGCTTAAGCACCAAATCCAGTGCCCTGATTTCCGATCTTTCAAGCTGGCGTCGGACGCCGTAGAATATCTCCAAGAGGCGTGGGGCCGGGGTGGGCAAAATTTATCACCCCCGGTACTCGAGCACAAGTACCGTAAGGCCCCCTTATATTTCACTACTACCTAGTATTGCTTCTTGCCTGGGGTGCGGACTTGAACATAGGGATCAAAAATTTGTACGGCAGATTATCTGTCCACACCTGAGCCCATACATTCAGACGGTAGTGTACTAGTACGTGTACTGGCGGTGTACGAGTACTCGAGTACTTGTATAGGTATGATACTTCCCGAGGGCTATCATACGTCTGGTAAAGAAGATCGGAAAATGAGACACGGGATTCGGAAGTTCTGATTGGAGAGTTTGGTGGCTCGACCTAATTGATTTCGGTGTTACTAACTCCTACTCTCCGACCTTTTTCTGCCGTAGCCGGGCGATTACTTGTATCGGGCAGGAAGTGCCGTACCCAAGCACAAGGATTGACAACCTGCCTGGCAAACCTCCGTCCCTTGTATCAACGCACCCTGTACGGTAATAATTAAATGAATTGATCCCTCGGGTGCTTTCGGAAAGAAACAAGGGAAAACAATGGGAGTGGGGAGAAAGAGTAGTCGAGAGCTAAGCTGATTACGGGGCCAGGCCGCGAGTGAAGAGTTTTGGGGAACGAGGTTATTCCTGCAACACCCACCATCACTCGGAGAGGCTAGGGTAATGGAATCTGTCCTTTATCATAGAATCACAAGACAACCCAAGTTTTATTTTGCTTTCTTTCCCTCCTTGCTCACTCAGGGCGCTCTCGGTCAAAGTTCTTAGAGAAGGCGGAGAAGCGGGGCGATCATCTTCGTGGGTGCTCCTTTAGGGTTTCCATTTGTCATAAAAAGTGATGCCGGTACAAGCATTACCACAGGTTTTCTGTTTCCGGTTTGTGGACCCTGTGAACTTTCGCAAAGTCAAGGTCGGGGCCGCTGAGCAGGATTTCCGCGGAGAAGTTCTCCAATCCCCCTTATTAGCTAAAATCGGCCACTCTGCTCCCCTATCTGACACTTAGGCCTTTTTACTTATCGCTCCACCGATGAAAAATCCCAATAATATCAACGGTATCTCTCCCGCCGAGGTGTGGAATTTCGATATCGACGCCTACATCAGCCCGTTCATACCAAGCCCGAGGATCATCCGGAGGCTCCCGACATGTATAAGTCGATTCCTGGGGCATAGAAATGGGGCTCGCGGGGGAGAACTCGATATCGTTGTTTGGACTTGGGCTTTTGTGGGAGCCTTTGCTGGAGTTGCAATTGTCGAGACGGTTTTCATAAATTGGAGCTATTTCGTTGAGAGAGGGTGTCCAATGATTGTTGGAAGTTATGTATGTGCACCCGGTTTATCTCTACCAAGCTGTTGTGAGCATGAACTAATTTAGGCTCATGTAAAAGGGCGCAGCAGCAATACTGCTGTACGGTGCAGTGGACAGTCCACTAGCTCAACCGAGGAACGCGTTCTTCGGGCAAGTTCTTTCAGCAGCAACTGGCGTGGCGGTAACAAAATTGTTCCTGCTCAATAGCAATTTCGATAGTCTCGTGTGGCTTGCGGGGGCTTTTGCTTGTGCTTCGTCAAGTTTGGTCATGACCATCACCAAAACCGTCCACCCGCCGGCTGGTGCTACGGCGCTCCTCGCAGCTGTCGATCCTGCGATCAGGGGGATTGGGTGGGGCCTTGTCCCTGTGGTCATAGTCTCCTCGGCCCTCATGATATCGGTTGCCTGTATCGTGGACAACTTTCAGAGGTCGTACCCGCGTTACTGGTGGACTCCCGGACCCGTAGGAAAGGAAGCGCGGAGTAAGGATTCCAAGGCGGACGGGATAGACATGGAGAAGGGGAAGGTCGACACGGAGGGGGACATGGAGGTTGTTGTTGGAGCAGAGGGCATTGTTATACCGGAGTTCTTGGCTCTCGGAGAAGTGGAGAGGGAGGTTCTGATGCAGATTAGATGTAGAATCGCAAACTTTAATGACGGGAGGAGGGAAAGCGAGAGTAGCTCTTTATGAAGAGGTGGAAAACATGTCCCCTTTGTTTTACAGGGCGTTCTTTGCGGTGAAATGGGCGATTTCTCACGACCGTTCTCAGGGTTCGTCTTCGCATGGAGAGATGCGTGGTGACGAGTGATAGAGGATGTATGATATGTCTAGCCTAATTTAATAGGGCACAAAAAGCCACGAGATGGTGAAGTGTATAAACTGTGAAATTGTATCGGAATACACGATTCGCAAAGATATCGAGGAATTTTGAGAGGAGATGAAGGAGATGAAGGGGGAGTGAGTTCGCTTCTAAGGGGGAGGAAACACCGCAAACTATTATATACGGCGAAGGAGGGGCGGGCTGACAACGCCCACCACCGCCCAGATCAGCCTTCCCTTCCGCCATTGTCGTCACGCCCGATGTTACAGTTCGTCGTGCTTCCATAGTGGGGTTAGGCTAGCAGTTGAATGTGAGAGCAGACCAAGGGCAGACGCTACTACGTAGTGGTTACCATTCCACATCTCGTCCCATAACTTAGTCTGCCGCTGGTGAGGCGCATTGAAATATCAATCACGATTCTTTCCCTTTCTAAACCTCTCGCCCGAGCCTTCGCCTCCGAATCTTTGTGTGTGGGGGGTACCTTACCCACTTCTGTACAGTACAGTACTCGTACACAATTCATCATCATTGCCTGGGCTCCGAATCCTAATCTGTCCACCTATCATGGTATCATACTGGCCGAAATTCTATCCGTACCCTTCACTGCTCGTTCAAATGTGGAAGGAAAGAGCGGTTGATAAATCATCATGATCTGACATGATCTCGCAGTACTCAAGTGCTGTGCTCGACTAGAGTCCTGGATGGGCGGGGGGGGGGTATCTGTACCGTATTATTTTGGTTTTTGGCTTTGGGTAAATTGTAGCAAACTGCCGCGTTCGCCTCTCCGCGCCAAGGATGGGCACCTCTATTGCGGTAGCCCCCGAGGACCCATAGAAAGTACTGTACTTGTACTACACATTCCGGTAAGATGAATCGGAAAACAGGGGTAAGCGAGGTCCGGTGGCAAGAGAGAAATACCCGTCGATTATTGGTTGGAAGAACTTCGAGAAGGCTCTCGTAAGTCAAGTAAATAGAATCATGTAGAAGAGTCTACCATATATAAAAGAGAAAGAAATATAGCTAAGATTGTCCTTACCTCACACCTAGAAGTCTGGTATTTTACACGATGTCTCGAGTTGGAACTGAAGACCTTAGTTACAAGCAACGTTGTCAAATTCAATGCTTGCGGGCAGATGCAGGGTGGACTTTTGATCGTATTGCGCAAAAATACGGTATTTCAGTCCCAACAGCTTGGAGAATATGCAACGGGCCTGCCACTCCACGTAAACGGGGAAAAAGCCACTTAAAATAGACTCTCCTCTTCGTAAACGCCTTGTTTATGAGGCTACACTAAATTCAGAAAACCGTCAAAAATCCTATTCAGAAATTGCTACGATGATCGGACTTCAAGCTTCAGAAAAAACTCTTCGGGCAGCATTTGCAGAGGAAGGATACAACAGACGAATAGCAAGAAAAAAGCCTTATCTGGATGCGACTCGGCGCATGAAGCACCTGCAGTTTGGATTAAATACACAATCATGGTCTAAAGAAATATGGAGAAGAGTGCTGTGGACCGATGAATGTTATGTCAGGTTAGGAGGGAAGCGGGGAACAGTGTATGTAACATGCCATGCAGGTGAAGAGTATTTAAATGATTGTTTGATTCCTAAATTTGAAAAGAAAAATTCTCTTATGATTTGGGGTGGTATTTTGGGTTACAATGGAAAAAAGCTTCTTGTTATTTGGGAAAAGGAGGATTGGGGTTCAATTAAAGCAAAAACATACATTGATCATATTCTTATTCCTATTATTTGGCCATTTTGGTATTGGGAAAAGCAGGAAATTATATGGACAGGTGGTGATACTGGTGGTGCTGATGCTGGTGGGTTTGGCTTAGAGGACTCAGAGATCATATTAAAGGAGGATGGAGCACCAGCACATCAGGCTCATGCAACAGCAGAGCAAATGGCACAACTTGGGATTCCTAAGTTGACCTGGCCACTGTATTCTCCTGATCTTAATCCGATAGAGAATATCTGGAATTTACTTAAATCCAGAATAAATGCACGGCAACCATGTCCTGTAACTTTAAATGATGTTAAGGAGGCTATTTTTGAAGAATGAGATAAGATTACAGTACAAGATATTCAAAAGCATGTAGATTGTATGCTACAGTGGATTCAGGCTGTTATTAAGGCAAATGGAGGGCACACTCGTTGGTGATTTTGTATTTATTTTTTTATCATGATCTTTTTTTCTCTCGCAAAATACTAGATTTTATATTCGCCACCAGTTTGCCACTGGACTTATCTTACCCCTCTTTTCCGATTCATCTTACTGGAATGTGTAGTATCATACCAGCTGGGTATTAAAACTACCAAGCTTCTCTTCCCCTATTTTCCTGACCCCGCTTTTCACCTTCCTGTTTGGGAAGGTAGTGGCGGGTGTCAACACTACACGCTACCACCTCACGATCTCCTCTCCAGTGCTGAACTTTAGAAGCTTTATAGGCCTGGACACCAAACCTCATTGTGGGGCTAAACGAAATTCTCACCCCCTCTGTTATTGAGCTGTTGTCTGTTTGCCAGATTGTGGTTCCTGTCCTCCCCCTCCCTCCATGGTAGCCACCTCGGCTAAGCTGTGTGAGGTTGTGAATACTCCTCTACCCCTCTGGGTTCTTTTACTCAGTCGGGTTTACTTTTTTACCAATTTTTGGGCTACTTGGCAATGT